AGTTCTAGCAGTTTTGGAGTGGAGTCTTTTGGGTTTTCCACATATAGTATCATATCATCTGCGAAGAGTGATAGTTTGACTTCTTCTTTGCCAATTTGGATGCCTTTAATTTCCTTTTGTTGTCTGATTGCTGAGGCTAGGACTTCTAGTACTATGTTGAATAGCAGTGGTGATAACGGACATCCCTGCCGGAAAGCTTAGCGGAAAAGCTTTCAGTTTTTCTCCATTGAGAATGATATTTGCGGTGGGTTTTTCATAGATGGCTTTGATAATATTGAGGTATGTGCCCTCTATCCCTACACTTTGAAGAGTTTTGATCAGGAAGGGATGCTGTACTTTGTCAAATGCTTTTTCAGCATCTATGGAGAGTATCATATGGTTCTTGTTCTTTCTTTTATTAATGTGTTGTATCACATTGATTGATTTGCGGATGTTGAACCAACCTTGCAGCCCTGGAATAAATCCCACTTGGTCGTGGTGAATAATCCTTTTAATGTACTGTTGAATCCTATTGGCTAGTATTTTGGTGAGAATTTTTGCATCTGTGTTCATCAAGGATATTGGTCTGTAGTTCTCTTTTTTGATGGGATCCTTGTCTGGTTTTGGGATCAAGGTGATGCTGGCCTCATAAAATGAGTTTGGAAGTTTTCCTTCCATTTCTATTTTTTGGAAGAGTTTCAGGAGAATAGGAATTAGTTCTTCTTTAAATGTTTGGTAGAATTCCCCCGGGAAGCCATCTGGCCCTGGGCTTTTGTTTGTTTGGAGATTTTTTATGACTGTTTCAATCTCCTTACTGCTTATGGGTCTGTTGAGGCTTTCTATTTCTTCCTGGTTCAGTTGTGGTAGTTTATACGTCTCTAGGAATGCATCCATTTCTTCCAGATTGTCAAATTTGTTGGTGTAGAGTTGCTCATAGTATGTTCTTATAATTGTCTGTATTTCTTTGGTGTTAGTTGTGATATCTCCTCTTTCATTCATGATTTTATTTATTTGGGTCCTTTCTCTTTTCTTTTTGATAAGTCTGGCCAGGGGTTTATCAATCTTATTAATTCTTTCAAAGAACCAGCTCCTAGTTTTGTTGATTTGTTCTATTGTTTTTTTGGTTTCTATTTCATTGATTTCTGCTCTGATCTTTATGATTTCTCTTCTCCTGCTGGGTTTAGGGTTTCTTTCTTGTTCTTTCTCCAGCTCCTTTAGGTGTAGGGTTAGGTTGTGTACCTGAGACCTTTCTTGTTTCTTGAGAAAGGCTTGTACTGCTATATATTTTCCTCTCAGGACTGCCTTTGTTGTGTCCCACAGATTTTGAACCGTTGTGTTTTCATTCTCGTTTGTTTCCATGATTTTTTTCAATTCTTCTTTAATTTCCTGGTTGACCCATTCATTCTTTAGAAGGATGCTGTTTAGTCTCCATGTATTTGGGTTCTTTCCAAATTTCCTCTTGTGATTGAGTTCTAGCTTCAGAGCATTGTGGTCTGAAAATATGCAGGAAATGATCCCAATCTTTTGATACCGGTTGAGACCTGATTTAGGACCAAGAATGTGATCTATTCTGGAGAATGTTCCATGTGCACTAGAGAAGAATGTGTATTCTGTTGCTTTGGGTTGAAATGTTCTGAATATATCTGTGATGTCCATCTGGTCCAGTGTGTCATTTAAGGCCTTTATTTCCTTGTTGATCTTTTGCTTGGATGATCTGTCCATTTCAGTGAGGGGAGTGTTAAAGTCCCCTACTATTATTGTATTAATGTCGATATGTTTCTTTGATTTTGTTATTAATTGGTTTATATAGTTGGCTGCTCCCACGTTAGGGGCATAGATATTTAAAATTGTTAGATCTTCTTGTTGGACAGTTCCTTTGAGTATGATATAGTGTCCTTCCTCATCTCTTATTATAGTCTTTGGCTTAAAATCTAATTGATCTGATATAAGGATTGCCACTCCTGCTTTCTTCTGATGTCCATTAGCATGGTAAATTGTTTTCCACCCCCTCACTTTAAATCTGGAGGTGTCTTCGGGTTTAAGATGAGTTTCTTGTAGGCAACATATAGATGGGTTTTGTTTTTTTATCCATTCTGATACCCTGTGTCTTTTGATTGGGGCATTTAGCCCATTAACATTCAGGGTAAGTATTAAGAGATATGAATTTAGTGCCATTGTATTACCTGTAAGGTGACTGTTATTGTATATTGTCTCTGTTTCTTTCTGATCTACTACTTTTAGGGTCTCTCTTTGCTTAGAGGACCCCTTTCAATATTTCCTGTAGAGCTGGTTTGGTATTTGCAAATTCTTTCAGTTTTTGTTTGTCCTGGAAGCTTTTAATCTCTCCTTCTATTTTCAATGATAGCCTAGCTGGATATAATATTCTTGGCTGCATGTTTTTCTCGTTTAGTACTCTGAATATATCATGCCAGCTCTTTCTGGCCTGCCAGGTCTCTGTGGATAAGTCTGCTGCCAATCTAATATTTTTACCATTGTACGTTACAGACTTCTTTTCCCGGGCTGCTTTCAGGATCTTCTCTTTGTCACTAAGACTTGTAAATTTTACTATTAGGTGACGGGGTGTGGACCTATTCTTATTGATTTTGAGGGGGGTTCTCTGAACCTCCTGGATTTTGATGCTTGTTCCCTTTGCCATATTGGGGAAATTCTCTCCAATAATTCTCTCCAATATACCTTCTGCTCCCCTCTCTGTTTCCTCTTCTTCTGGAATCCCAATTATTCTAATGTTGTTTCGTGTTATGGTGTCACTTATCTCTCGAATTCTCCCCTCGTGGTCCAGTAGCTGTTTGTCCCTCTTTTGCTCAGCTTCTTTATTCTCTGTCATTTGGTCTTCTATATCGCTAATTCTTTCTTCTGCCTCATTTATCCTAGCAGTCAGAGCCTCCATTTTTGTTTGCACCTCATTAATAGCTTTTTTGATTTCAACTTGGTTAGATTTTAGTTCTTTTATTTCTCCAGAAAGGGCTTTTATATCTCCCGAGAGGGTTTCTCTAATATCTTCCATGCCTTTTTCAAGCCCGGCTAGAACCTTGAGAATCGTCATTCTGAACTCCGGATCTGACATATTACCAATGTCTGTATTGATTAGGTCTCTAGCCTTTGGTACTGCCTCTTGTTCTTTTTTTTGTGGTGAATTTTTCCACCTTGTCATTTTGTCCAGATAAGAGTATGTGAAGGAGCAAGTAAAATACTAAAGGGGTGGCAACAACCCCAGGAAAATATGCTTTAGCCAAATCAGAAGAGATCCCAAATCGTGAGGGGGGTGAAAGGGGATAAAAAGAGGTTCGGAAAGAAAAAAAAAAAGAAAAAGAAACAATTAAAAAAAGAAAATCAATAAAGAAAAAATATAAAAAGGAAAAAATATATATATATTAGATAAACTAGTTAAAAATGTTAAAAAAGAAAAGGGTAAAAGTTAAAAAAAAATTAGCAGAAGAAGAAAAAAAATTGAAAAAGAAAAAAAATTAAATTAACTGCAAGGCTAAAGAATCATGGGGAGAAAGTCATGAGTTCCGTGCTTTGCTTTCTCCTCCTCTGGAATTCTGCTGCTCTCCTTGGTATTGAAACTACACTCCTTGGTAGGTGAACTTGGTCCTGGCTGGGCTTCTTGTTGATCTTCTGGGGGAGGGGCCTGTTGTAGTGATTCTTAAGTGTCTTTGCCCCGGGCGGAATTGCACCGCCCTTACCAGGGGCCGGGCTGAGTAATCCGCTCGGGTTTGCTTTCGGGAGCTTTTGTTCCCTGAGCGCTTTCCGTAGAGTTCCCGAGGACGGGAATGAAGATGGCGGCCTCCCAGTCTCCGGCCCGGAGGAGCCGAGAGCCCGGGGCCCCACTCCTCAGTGCGCCCTCAGAGAACAGCGCCCAATTACTCCCGTCACCCTGGCCTCCGGCCGCGCTCCGAGCTGACCGAGCCTGCGACTGGTTCAAGGTAACGCCGAGCTGAGAGCTCACTCCTCGGCTCTGTCTCTGTAGCCGGCTTCCCCGTTCTACTACCTGTAAGCTCTGCGACACTCAGACACCCCCGATCCTTCTGTGACCCTGCGGGACCTGAGGCCACGCTGACCCTGCGTGGGCTTCACCCCGGTTAAGCCTCTGGAGCGATGTCCCTCAGCGGAACAGACTTTTAAAAGTCCCGATTTTGTGCTCCACTGCTCCGCCACTTGCCGGGAGCCGGCCCCTCCCCCCGCGGTCTATCTTCCCGTCGCTTTGGATTCACTTCTCCGCCAGTCCTACCTTTCAGAAAGTGGTTGATTTTCTGTTTCTAGAGTTGCTGTTCTTCTTCTCTTCGATCTCCCGTTGGATTTGTAGGTGTTTGCAATCTTTAGATAAGCTATCTAGCTGATCTCCCGCTACCTGAAGTAGTCTCAGCTGCTACTTCTCCGCCATCTTGACTCCTCCCCCCACCAGGTGTCTTTTAACTTAGTTATCTCTTTAAAGGCCTTATTTCCAAATACAGTCACATTCTGAGGTGCTGGGAGTTAAGATGTTAACATATAAATTTGGGGGGAAGGTAGTAGAGGGGGCAGACACAATTCAGCCCATGACAGGGGTAAAGAAGGGAATATGGAGACTCGTTTAGTCTTATTAGCCTATACTTTAGAAGTAAAGGTCCGTGTATAAAACTAAGAGGAGATGAGGAATATAGAAGTGCCTAGACAGACAAGGGAGAGAGATAAGGAGGAAAGAAAAAGAGAGCTTAGATTTCCCTCAAGTGAACTCCTACTATTATATCCTGAACCACTGGATAGAGAACCTCAAGGTACAGAGAGGACTTGGGGCCAGTCCAATTCTTCCTTCTCCTATTTCAGAGAAAGAGGAAATGATCCTCTTCTAGTCAAACATCCTTTGTCATCTTTCCTCCTCCCTACATCCTGAAAGAGTTCAATTTCACAAACATCACTTGAGCACAGACCACGTTCTAGGCAGTAAGCTGGAAAAACAGAAGAAAACTCTGCATGTCATATTTTGGCCCAAACTCATTAACTCATCCCCTTTGCTCCAGGGCCAGCTTAATGAAGACAAATTGAAGGGCAAACTGAGATCTTTAGAAAACCAGCTGTACGCCTGTACCCAGGTAAGCTTTCTTAAGACATTTCCAGCCCAGGAATTTAGAATTAAAGGAGAATGCTTGAGCCTCGATCCTACTCTCTGGAAATGACACCTGATAGAGCTGAAAGCACCCATTCCTACTCACTCGATTCTGGCTTTGCCATTTTCACTTTGGTCCCCAACCCACCTCTTCTCCCTTTTTCTTAATGTTCTTCCCTCTGCACCCTGAGAAGCAACCGCAGCATCAAGGACTCTGCCAGCACCAGGGGAATCTTAGGAATACCTGGAACTGTAGGGAGAGGCCCTAGTAAAGATGCTCATTGCTCAGATAGACCTTCAAAGGTCCCAATGTTTGAACAGACAAACTGGATATTGTAACAAAGTCTTGTTACATGTAACAAAGTTCCATGGGCAACTTCAGTCTAGTAGCAGTCTCTGGGAGAAAGTAAAAGGCCACAACTCTTGGCTTTTCTATGGCATTGTTATCCATCTTCAGTAAACTCTTGATTGGCCTGATCTTGGATTACAAGAGATAGAAAGAAATCAGCTTTCACACTGGAGAAGTGATCGACTTCTGACAGTGGTGAGATGTCAGATAAGAGAATGAGGTGGCGCATGTGGAGTTAGGGAGAGAAGATGGACCTGGCTGCACGCTTGGAGTCTTATAGGGAAACAGAGTTTATATACAGGTTTGCTGATCCACAACTTTTAGTTTTTCTCAGTATGGCCTGTTTTGTCAGACTCTTAGGAACTATATGATGCCAACCATACTTATAAAATACCGACATATAATCCAGAATACCAGGCTCTTCATTTTCAATGGGCAGGGGGTTAAAGCTGGCCAGCATGGGTAAGTCCACTAACTGGGATATACCTATGTATGACCTCCTGGATCCTGCTTCTGATGAAAATTCCAAGAACCTAAGACCCACTCACATTTAGATCCAAATTTTCAGATGATTCCAAAGCTAAATGGAAATGATTTCATATTGATCCTGAGGTCTGTACCATCTAGACTACTGTTTATTCAGTGGGATAACCCTGAGTTGACAGCAAAAGCTGCCTGCCTTCCCAAGAATCACAGGGCAAAAAGGGCTAGGGAAGGGAAGACCCTAACTGAATATACAAGGCTGTTCTTTTCTTAACTCCTGAAGCCAAGATAATTTTTTTAATGCAAATATATGAATTTTAAAACATTGAGAGTACTGGAGCTACAAAGATAAAAGAGAAAAAAAAAGTATGCTCTCTACCCTGAAGGAGTTTACAATCCCATAAGGGACACAAATGAGTCAACAGAGTGGGAAGATAGAGACTTACAGAGGATACTATGTGAACACTAAGAAAAGCTACCTAATCCATAATGAGTCGGGGGTGATTGGTCAAGATTTATCAGAATTTACATGATCCTTAGACGGAGTCTTGAGCATGAGTAGAGTTTAACCAGTGGAAAGGGTAGGTGAGGATGCTCTAGGCAGAAGCTACATGGACAAAGGCAAAGGCCAAAATGCACAGTGCTTAGGGAATCTGCAAACAGTTCAGTTTGGGTGGAAGTAGCATAGAATCAAAGTCTGAGCTTTCAAGTAGGAGCCATGCCAAGGAATTTGGACCTGATCCTTAGTCACTGAGAAATTTATAAAGGGAGTGACATGATCAGATTTACATTTCAGGAAGTACCCTTTAGCTTCAAGGCTCGAAGATAGAGAGAATATTACATCGACCCATATAATAGTGTTACCAGAGTTTGAACCAAGGAAGTGCCAGGAATTATGGAGAAGACACAGATATGAGGTGTTAAAGAGGTTGATTTGACAATGTTCCATGAGCAACTGATTGGTGGGAGAAAGTGAGAGAAATCAAGGATGACTCCCTGGTCTCAGGCTTGGGAGACTGAGTGGGTTATGATGCTGGTCACCGAGATAGGCAGCCCAGGAGAAAGGAGCAGGTTGAGAAAGATTATTTTGATTTGGAAATATTGAATTTGAAGTGCTCTTGGAAGGCCTGGGGAAGCCCAACATGCCTAGAGCACCGTGTTAACCCCACTTACCTCCCTCATCACCTGGGACCCTCTCCCTGCCCACCTCGAGCCCAGAAGGAGGTCCACCAGGTTACTGGTATCTCTGCTCTGGGGGCCAGGAGCAAATTCTTTTCCTTTCTGTATCCCAGCTAAGGGGTTGGCACACAGAAGTTCAATATGTGTTTGTTGAATTGCATGAAATTTACAGAAATACCCCCCTTGGGGAATGAAAAAGGTGTTATTGGAGATGGAAGACCAGAAAAACAACTATGAGCAGAAAGCCAAGGAGTCACTGCAGAAGGTGCTGGAGGAGAAAATGAGCGCGGAGCAGCAACTGCAGAGCACACAGGTGCAGGGATGCTGTGTACTCCTTGGGGCTGGGACCCCGGGTGGCCCTGGGCAGCATGGGAGCCAGCTGCATAACTCCCTGGAACCCCCAAGGCACCCTCTTCTTGTCTGACCACCCCCTCAGCGGTCACTGGCTCTGGCCGAGCAGAAGTGCGAAGAGTGGAGGAGCCAGTATGAAGCTCTGAAGGAGGACTGGAGGAACCTGGGGACCCAGCACAGAGAGCTGGAGAGCCAACTCCACGTGCTCCAGTCCAAACTGCAGGTACCAGGCCCTGGGGTGGGCACAGGGGGAGAGAAAAGGCAGGGCTTATGGGACGAGGGGCAGTGACAGCAGGGAGGACAGAAGCTGCTGCTGGGATGGGGGTTCTCAAGGCAGCCTGACAGCATCTGGCTTTCAGTCCCCCACTCACTGCCCACTTTGTTTCTGACTCACTGTTTGGGCCCTGGAATCTAATTGTGAGTTCAGCAAGGATGTTTCATGCAAATGAACTAAGTGTTACCCGAATGATACCATCCATGAGCAAAGAGCTAGACTGGAATATTCATCAGTCTACTGTCATACTCCAACACACTCTCTGCACCCCAAGCCAGCAGAGCATTCAGCTCAGATATGTCCACTACTGGCACAGAACAAGCCACCCGGACATACTCAGAGGTTGAGGATTGACTAACATCCTACCAATGTCATTTTTAAGCAATTACAGTAGACTCTTGGCATTCTCAAGGGTTCCATCATTTCCAACAGGTGTTACCTGGTCAAAGTCAACTGATCTCCTAAGCCTCAGTTTCCCCATCTCCAAAAGGAGGCAAATAGTAGTACCTATGTCATAGGATTGTTGTGGGATTGAGGTAATCCATTACAAAGCACACAGCACAATGCCTGGCACAGGCCTCCATCCATAGTAGCTATTTCTCTTCATAGATTTTATTTACTTGGTTTGAAATTTTGAGGACCCACATCAAAAATTTACCTTTATCATTTTCCTGAAGCAGGAACCCGAGTAGCCAAATTAATAAACCGAAGCGTGTGTCTTACCGAAGCTGTGAACCCAGCTGGCCAGTACACTATTTGCCATATCTCTCATGAAGGCCTTTTTCTTTTGAACCTTAATTTTTTGAGAAAAAATGACCCTACCAAAGGAAAAAAAAATGACAGTGTTAGAATAAGAAGACAATGTGAAGACACCTAAAAAAGAGATGATTTGGGCCTGACTCAAATGAGTCCCTTGTGAAATATCAAAAATCTAATGCATGAGGAAAGCGCAGATGGAAGAAACAAAGAATCCCAAATGTTTCCATTTCCCTGATAACCCTCTGTCTCTAAAATTCTAGTCTTCCTCTTCCATGGGATCTGTTCCCAATCTCCACCCCAGCACTGACCTGCCTCTGTGTTGGGCCCCCTCCTTACAGGGAGCAGACAGTAGAGACCTACAGATGAACCAGGCTCTGCGACTTCTGGAAAATGAGCACCAGGAACTGCAGGCCAAGATTGAACACCTGCAGGGGGACAGAGATCTGTACAGCTCGGATACCCTGCACCTACAAGGTACTCTTCCCCTCCAAGGCCTCTAGGAAGATGGGTGGAGGAGAAGGCCTCAGTCTTTGATTGGGTTTATAATTTCATTTTACCTCGAGGGAAAGGCAGGGCTGTTTTAATCATCCCAGCCTGAAGATTTGTGCTCTGCTAGCGGGTCTGGTAGTATCAGTCTGCTCTTCCAGCCAGTCCCTCTGAGCGAGGTCACAGCACTCCCATTTCAGTCACCTGTGGCAAGGCTGCATTTCTGATTTGGAAGGGGAAGGTCAGTTGAAACGCAAGGCATACTGAAGGCATCCCACCCTAGCCTCTGTGTCAGCGTAGACGACGAAATCATGGGCAGATACAACTCTTGATTTAACCTGATGTTGTTGGGGCCGATGACATCCCAGGAGCTCAGGATCTGGTTTCCTCTCCAGAACCAGGGTGAGTAGAAAAGAGAAAAGAGAGGACTTCCACTTAGCACACATCAGTGGTTACGACTAACTCCCCTCCTCAGGTGTCAGGTTAAGTCTCAGGTTCATCTATTTCGATTTGCATTATTTCACTTTCAGATCAACTGAAGAGGTTAGAGAAGGAGAAACTCGCCCTGGTGGCCCAAGTACAGCAGCTGCAGGGTAAGTTCCCCTTCCAGATTCTCAAGAGTAGCACAGCTGCTCTTTCTGGTGTTCCTGCCGCTCCTGCCCCACAAGAGGCATCCAAAGGAGGGGTCTGGAGCCCGGTCTTTGACGTATCCTCCACCTCTGTGCGTTTTCGGACCTTCTTGAAAAGTGAGGTCATTTACACAGCTCTTCACGAGTTAACGTTAGCCTTTTTTTCTTTTCTACTTTCCTCCTTCTGTGCCAAACACAACCACCCAAATTTCCCCCGGATTTTCAGATTTTAAAAAACACTGAGTTTTCTAAGGCAGTTATTTTATATACTGACAGTCATTACATACATGAGTATGTCCTATAGACATCTGTCGTTAGGAATGGTTCGGAAAATCAGCTCACACTACAGATGCCTCAGTCCACTTCAGAACTACCTGTTGGGGCCAAAGAGGAAAGGGGACATTTCAGGAGAAAAAAAAAAAAAATGTAGGCAATGGCTGAAAAGCTGGAGAACCCAATTCAACTAATAGCTCTGCTGGCTTCCCACCACCTTAACCTGACACCCCAACAGAGAAGTTTCGTGCAATGCATGTTAAGAGTAAGGCGGCCACAAGCAGATGACGAGCACCTATAGGGCAGGAGCTGAATGCGCAAGGAGTCAATTCAAAATCATGCCCTTATTTATTCCCTACCAAGTACCAGGCACCTTAGGTGTACACACTGAGGATACAGTGCTGAACAGAACTGACACAGCTCTGTCCCTAAATGAAGCTTACAATAAGGTATGAAGCTTCCATGGACAATTAAGTATGTGTCAGGTAGTCATAGCTGCCATGGAGAAAAATAAAGCAGGTTAAAAGGGAAAACAGTTGCTATTTCATACAGGGTCATCTGGGGAAGTCTTTCTTCTAAGGTGACTTAAAGGTAAAGACATGGTAGGAAGAAATACAAGGATGATGTATTCATTAACAAAATACCACACACTGAGTGACTTAAAAAATAGTAATTTATTTTTTTCTGGAGGCTACAAGTCCAAGGTCAAGGTGTTAGCAGGGCTGATTCCTTCTGAGGATCTCTTCCAGGCCACTTTCTTTGGCTTGTAGATGGCTTTCTTCTCCCTATGTTTCTTCAGATATCTTCTATCTAGTTGTGTTGAAATTTCTCTTTTTTTTTTTAAATTTTATTTATTTATTTGTGAGACAGAAAGAGAGAGAGAGAGCGAGCACAGGCAGAGAGAGTGGCAGGCAGAGGCAGAAGGAGAAGCAGGCTCCCCGCCAAGCAAGGAGCCCGATGTGGGACTTGATCCCAGAACGCTGGGATCATGACCTGAGCCAAAGGCAGCAGCCCAACCAACTGAGCCACCCAGGCATCCCAAAATTTAAGATTAGGGCCCACTCTAACACCCTAAAATACTTGATTACCTCTGTAAAGAACCTTTCTCCAAATAAGGTCACATTTAAGGCACTAGGGATTAGGACTTCCTATGAATTGGGGGGAGGGGCACAATTCAACCAATAATAGCCAGGAACATCTTAAATAATTAAGGTTTGAAGCAAAGTTCTGAAAAGACACTGTGTGCAGTAGATACGCTAGTACAGACAAGTTCCTTGTGTTTTTCCACAGGTTTGCTCCAGAATCAATCTTTACAGCTTCAAGAACAGGAGAAACTCTTAACAAAGAAAGGTCAGCAAATTTACTTCCACAAATTCTAAGCTAGTGGTCTTTCTTGCCTGCCTAGAGGCAGGGGATGGACTACAGGACCTCTTGGAGTCCCATACAGTTCTAGAAGTCTGTTAGGTCAGGGATCTAGGGGAGCTTTTTCAGGACAGATGATTGACTTTGAGAACATTTTAATCAGTTAGCCTCCTATCCTGAGAGGTATATAAACTGTGAAAAGAATTTCTACTCTGAAAATATACATCTGTGTTGAACATTTCAATAAATTGATTTTGAACGCAGGATTTAATGTCAATTTTTACACTTGACTTTCCAAGTCACATCCAACTCCACAAGCCTACACCATGCTGCATTCAATAATCACGTCACTCTTAGCATTCAAAAGTCTGCTGCCTTAGCTCCCTGAAAATAATTCATCATGTATGAGGGGTTAAAGAGGCCAAGTTCCTCACTTACGCACTCCACATGGTCTTTTGTTTTCTCATCATAATCACCATGTAAAAGAGAAGGCAGAAGTTATGATACCCATAGAATGGGTAAGAAAATGAAAGTCTACGGTCATAAGAATTAAGGACAAAGCTAAGACAACAATCCAGAATTTTTGACTCCTAGTGCAGTGCTCTCTTCACCAAGACTAAGACTGCCACGTGGCTCAGAAGCCATCTTTAACCATAGGAAGATGAAGTCTAGGACAGGACAGCCATTCTCATGACTGAAATGAAGCTAGAAGGGAGAAGGGGTTAGTTATACTGAAGCGTCCAGCAAACCTACTAGAAATATCACAAAAGAAAATGGATTAGCAAGTATTCTCTGGAAGTACCTGCCATTAAACAGGGCTAGGGATACAAAGAAAAGTAAGATGCCAACCTTCCCCTCAAGGGGCTCAAATTCCAGCTCTGTGTCAAGACTGAGCATGGTCCCAATGGGAGGAAGTAAGAGAATTCTACTCTATACTGTCTCATCAGGGACAGGTCCTCCCTTGTTCCCTTTCCTCCCTTCCCCTCACTCCAGGGTTGTCTCAGTGATAGGACCCTGCCTCAGAGGTGTGGACCTCACCATCACTGGGAATCTGGCTGCTTTTTTAGATCAGGCTTTGCCTGTGTGGAGTCCAAAGCCCTCCCATTATGAAGTGGAACCTGAGGGTACAGGGAAGGAGAAAGAATGGGATTTCAGAGACCAGCTGCAAAAGAAGACTTTGCAGCTCCAGGCCAAGGAAAAGGAGGTGAGACGGTGACCTCAAGGTAGTGAGGGAATCATCCCGCAATGGTAGGGAAAACTGCTGGGAGGCAGCCAGAGAGCAAAGATTTTGAAGTTTGCACAGTGACTGGATGCCAGCAGGTATTCATTTGCCTTTATAAAATGTCTTTGCTTTTGGGCTAATCTGTCAATCTTTTCCCTTCTTCGTTTATACCAACTGCTATTCCAGATTTTATTAAATAATTACTTTTGTAATGTCAACCTAAACTCAAACACATTTAATAAAACATATTAACCCCTCACACTTTGTCCTAGAGTTATCTTAAAACTTTTATAAAGTGTGCCTTTCAAATAAAACCCTTTCCATCTACGTACTTGGAAACACACACATCCCCAGAAGTATTCACATGCAACTCAACTAGGTCCTAGGGAAAATGTTTGTACTGAGATCACTCCCAGGTCTTTTGTGCTACAAGAACTTCATTTTTTGGTGCCCCCATTTACAAAGCACTTGCACACACACAATCGCGTGGGAGCACTGATATGTATAATACGTAATATTGTAATATGCATTATAATCATTTAAACAAACACATTCTGGAAAAACTAGGTGATACAGTCAAAACCCAAACTGAAATCTCTGAGAAAAGCTGGGAAGGGAGGACGGTGGAAACAATTCCAAACGAATGAGGGGGTGACTCACACGGGGCCCTCTCCCAGACCTGGGCTCTGTCCCAGAAGGAACTGGTGGTGATGACGGTGGTGGTGTTCTCCCCGCCAGTGCAAAGAACTGCATTCGGAGTTAGACAACCTCAGTGACGAGTATCTCTCCTGCCTGCGTAAGCTGCAGCACTGTCGAGAAGAGCTGAACCACAGCCAACAGCTGCCTCCCAGAGTAAGAGGGTCTATCCTCCCAGATCGCCCTGGATGTTGGTGGGATGGCTCCTCCTTTAGCCAAATCCTGCAGATAAAGTTTATCAGCCCGTGCCAACATCTGGCCAGCCTGTTCCATTCAACTTGGTTTACATGCTTGATAGTATAACAAGTGTCAGCAAACACAGGCTCATGCATCCAAGCCTAATTTTCATGGAATTCTTGAGCCCGAGGGGAAGACTTACTATTAGCTCAAGTATGAAGTGGTGTTCTTTTAGCTTATTATGAGCTAGTGGTAAGAGTGAGGAGAGCAAAAGTACCACGGAATACGAACAGAGCGTAATATAATTTTGCTGAATTATGTCCCACCCTTAACTATTCTTTTTTTTTTTTTTAAGATTTATTTATTTATTTGACAGACAAAGATCACAAGCAGGCAGAGAGACAGGCAGAGAGAGGAGAGGAAGCAGGCTCCCCGCGGAGCAGAGAGCCCAATGTGGGGCTCCATCCAGGACCCTGGGATCACGACCTGAGCCGAAGGCAGAGGCTTAACCCACTGAGCCACCCAGGCGCCCCTTTCCTTAACTACTCTTATCAGTATCTAAGTATCTGGCTCTTGCTGGGTATGGTTCCCTGAGCCAGTGATCCTGGATTGGGGGGGCCAGGGACCAGCAGTAAAGTGGTTTTATCCCAAAGGATGTGACCAAGTGAGAGAGACAGTGATACAAAAAGCTTTTCTCCTCTACTGACCCAAGGTTTTCCACTGGGCTAGGATGGGAAGAAGGAAGATTATTTTTGCCTGTACCTTCTCCAACAACCCATGGCCTCTTTCTCTCCCCCACCCCTCCTAACAGAGGCAATGTGGCCGATGGCTCTCGATGCTGATGGTGATGATTGCTATAGCACTGGCAGTGTTCCTGGCCAAGAAGGACAGCCTGATGATCTGACTCACCTGTGACTACTGCTTGGGTGAAAACCTGAAGCAAGAAACTCAATAAAAAACTCAGAAGGTTGATATACTTTGAAGTGTGCATTTTCCCACCTGAGATTTCTGACTTTGTTATTGTTTTTTTAACCTATTGTAAAATAAACACTTCATCTAATAGTCTCTGTTCCTCAGAACTCTTCGTTTACTCCGGAATGACAATTCACATCATACATGTAAGACATGTGAGCATCCTCGTCTATCCTCCCTAGTCCAATTCAGTTGGTGGTATATAAACATGCGGTAAAAGCCGCCTAGTCTTCTACTTTCTGGCAGACACCACCCACGAGGGCAGGTGTATTTATAGTTACCACATAAGAACATACACTTCTCCTCCACCGTCCTTCTCCACAATCTCTCTTCTTCTATCTCCTACCCAGTGGAAAAATCAGCAGATATCTCAGCAAAGTCAAGAGGACTCCTTAGTACAAAAATGGCAAATGTACAACCAATGCCGCCACCACTAATCCCATGCCCACTGCCATGTGGACAACTGATTATAGCACCACTCCCCTGCCCCCGGTGTTTTCAAGATGCTCTGAATTGGTACTTGAGATGCCATCCTTCAGCTAGAGCTGATTATTTACTGAGTACCTTCTGCATGAGAGAAGAGTTAAAATCAGAGAGCCACTGCTGGCAGCGTGACTATCTCAGAGGAGATGCTCAGGTCGGCAAAGTCATTCTGAGTCCTACATCGAGTTCTAAGGTCCTTCTCCCAAGTATTTAGAATCTCCCTCAGGGCTGGGAACAAGCTTTCTGGGACACTAAAGGAATAGAGCAAGATGGGGGGATGACCACGAAGCCATGAGATCCGGGCAGTGAACACCCGTAGTGGGGTCAAGGCTAAGCAGTTGTCGTCTCCCTGGTTCAGACGAAAGGTATACGGAACAGGATAGCCCAGGAGGATCCCAAACACAGTACAGAGATTCCAGTCTGAGGAATGAAGTCTGCTACAGGAGACTGCCAGGGATAGGTCCCTCTGCAGCCCTTGCAAATGCACGATGATCTCAGCCATTAGGGCCTTCAAATTCTGAAGCTGGTCCAGGAAGCAAATAGAAGGGTGAGGTTGGGAGCTGGAAACATCCACAAAGGCTATGGTACCAAGCAGCACCTGCTCCAAGTGCTGACATACGTGCTCAGGACTGACAATCAAGCTGTCTTCTCCAATCTCGAGGATGTGAAGTCCCTGGGTCAGGAAGCCCAGGCCCTGCAGTTCCTCCAGATAGCTCTGGAGCTCTGATGGCCCTGCACAACTGCAATCATAGAGCAGAGCTGGCTTCAGTCCCCGGGCCACAGCCAGCACCTCTCCAGCTAGGTGAAGGCAGATAGCTCGGGGTGGGCACCGTCTCTTTCCCATGCCCAAGGTCTGCTGAGCAGCTGCCACCAGCATCTGAGGACTCGGTGCTGACATGGAATCTGGAAGCAACAGCAAGCATGGCCTCCTTACCTAGCTATAGTCCCCTCCCCTGGGCCGCATCTCTGAGCTCCAGGCACTTGAGGAAGGGCCTAGAAACAAAGCAGTAGCAGGGGATTATTAACACCAGCCAATGACATACCAGGAAACCTGCCAACAGCCTTCCCCTAAGTTTTACAGCAACTTCCAAACATTTTTGTCCCTCCCTCTGCTTTGAAATGCTAACCCAGATCACATAAGATGGGATCACCAATGCTGCCTGATTTCTATGGTTGACTTAGTCTTCCTTAGTCTCAAATTCATGTGTCTTTCACGCCTTATGGCTACGTTGACATTCTCTCTGAATTCTTCTCAATTTTACCTGTTGTAAACTACTTTCTCGGATTCAAACCTTAAAGAAATCGGGGAAGAGTAGTGCCAGGGCTGTCTTTGGCAAAATTCCGGGGTCTAACCCTAAAACTGCCCTTCTGAGGCAGAATTCTGGGTTCCACACGCCCTCTTTCCCCTACCAACTTCCCCTTATCTTCCCGCCAACAGCTGTAAGAAAAGCGATCCGATTAATATACACTAGAATATGGACTTACAACCACTGCACCCTGGGACGTAGAAGTAGTAAATAAAGTCTTATAACTGCAGAAGGGTTATACTTTTGCCGGCCCCGCCTTCCCCTTCTGACCGTCATCTACGGACCTTCGGAAGATGGGCTCACTCCAATCCCCACACGCAGTGCTAAGCACTCTAATAGTGACTTGTTAAATAAGTCACAGGTCTCTCTCACACACACATACACACATACTTTCTGCTTCCACTTCCGCCGCAGGTTCGCGGGCTCAGAAGCGCCCGCCCGTTTCCTGTGAGCTGCAGAGAAAACGCCGAAACCAAAACGCTCCGCGGCAACACTGGAAATCCCTTGCAACGCGCTGGGCTCCAGGTCGGCAAAACCGGCCTACTTCGCAGGTCCAACACACGCCCTCCCGCCACTTTCCGTGACGTCATCCAGGCCGCTCACGCGCCGCGTTAGGACCTCCCGCCCGGCTGTGCCGGAAGTGTGGACGCCTATCGCCCGGCCCTTTCCGGCCAGACAGAAGCCGGCCCCGCCTGTCTGCGTAGGGACGGGGAGGGGCGGAAGTGCCCGAGAGAAGGCGGGACTTGGCGAAGCTAGTAGCCTACCGCTACCCTCACGTAGCTTCGCGTCGTGTTACTAAGTCAGGGAATGCAGAGGGGGCTACGCAGCGCAAAAACACTCTGCTTTGTCTGGAAAAGTGCGCTTTCCCCTCCAAACGAAGCTTATCTCAAGAAAGCGACATGTTTTGCAGACTGTCCTCACCTGTGAGTGGCCCTACAAAGTTAGTTGTTTACTCTGACCTGCCTAAATCCCCAATTGGAGAGGCTGAATTCCTAGAAGTGGGTGAGCAAGTGCTGTCCTGCCCAAGATTTGCCATCTCGAAGCTGGGTGTGAAGGGCATGGGCACTGTTCACTCGGAATAAATGTGTGCCAGGCATGCTTCTGGGCGCTGACAGTATTATTACAACGTACAAAATACACAGAAACCCCACCTTCACGGGCTCGAGTTCGAGAAATTCGGTTTTCTGGCTTCACATGAGACATGAACAGAGAGGCAGAAGCTTTTCAATCAGGCCAGTAAGAAGGACGTGTTTCACTGAAGGGTTAACACCTAAACTGCCAGCCCTAGGGCAAGAATTTCTTGAAAACGCTCAGCTGAGAAAACGCCTTAACTTTATTGTTATGTGGGCAGGACTGAGGCAAAGGGAACTGCGGGCTCGACACCGGAGGCTTCACTCCTTGCTCTACTTTGGTGGTATCTTCAGAAGGTGAAAATAGACAAGTATGGAGTAAAGATGGGGCCAGTGTGGAAGGAGGATCAGCGTGTGGGAGCTCCCAGTCTAACGCTGGTTTTTAGCTCAGAGGGAGTCAGAAACAGAGACTAGAAACCAATTTTAGGATTTTTTCCTTCCCCAGATTTATTTTATTTTCCCATGGTCCTTAGCAATAAATCTGTAAAATGAAAGACTTATTTATTTAGTTCATTCATTTATTCTAACAACACATACAGGTGACCCTTGAACGACTCAGGCGGTAGGAGGTGCCCCACACAGCAGGAACTCTGAATATAACTTTTAACTCTCCCAGAACTTTACTAATAGCCTACTATTGACCAGAAGCCTTTCCAATAATATAAACAGTCAACAGATATTTTTGTTATAGCAACATTATATACTGTATTCTTATAATAAAGTAATCTAGGGGAAAATAAAACACTAAAAAATCATAATACATTTACAGTACTGTACTATATTTATCAAAAAAAAGAAAAATCTGGGTGTAAGTGGGCCTGTGCAGCTCACACCTGTGTTGTTCAAGGATCAGTTCTATTTGAGAAAATAGTATGCACCAGACACTGGCAACAGAGTCCAAGACAAATAGTCCCTACCTTCAGCAAGTTGGTAGTCAAATAGGACACAGATGCTAAGCAATTACAAGGGAATTGATTATTCTGAAAAAGGAAGTATGGGATGATATGGGAACACAGAACCAGAGATCGAATTATATGGGGAAGGAACAAGCCAGATCCAACACTCGCCCTCCAAATTACCTACAGTGTTTTGTTCTGTTTAACTTTGAGCTAATCCAGTTTAGCGGGGTGGACAGAGAACAAAAAGAAGAGCTGGTGACACCATCTAATTCCCCTTCCACTCTTAAGCAAGGTGGAGGCAAGAAAGTAGACCACACCAAGAGAGTGTGTGGTGTAGCCACCAAAGCTAACAGTCTCCAAGAAAGAAAGGGCACCTGGTATCTATCATCAGGACCAGAGAAGGAGCAGTGAGGGAGATCAGTAAACAGCCCTGCACACACTCATCCAGTGTTTTTTTTGGTTTTTTTTTTGAAAAATGTATTTATTATTAGAGAGACAGAGTGAGTGGGGGCGGGGAGAGGAAGAGGAAAAAGAGAATCTCAAGCAGACTCCCCACTGAGCATGGAGCCTGATGTGGGG